ATCGACAATGTGGATGAAGGTAAGTAATTCAAATCTAAGTCAAATACTATTAAACCCGGTTATTCCCGAGAATAGCGAAAGTTTGACTATAATCTCTGTTGTTGTACATTTCACAGCGTGTACACTCTCGTTTACAAGTGCTACATACTACATACAAGAAAACTCAGCAACCGCCACAGCCATCATACCATTTGGTGACATCACATCAGATTTTCCAGAAGGAGCGGCTGGTACAGCGTTTATTATAGCCAGTGTATCCGCACCAGGTCCTGCAACGTTATTTGACATTGTTGGAACTACAGGCGTGGTAAGAAATCAATAAGAATTGCTTAGTATGATTAAGCAATTCAAAATCTTATCTACAAATTACAAATTCCGATAAACAGGAACAATAAATACACATAGCTATACAATGCGCAAATGATTACTATGCACTAATGTTTTGTTTTATATAAATATATCTCAAACCCATTTTTGCCATAAATCTTTATGAACGTAATCGACAATACCACCTTCAACGTATTTTGTTTATATGTATTTTATTGAACGTTGTATGTTTTCCAATGCAGCTGATGGTAGGGAGCACTATTCCTGATTTTGAAACTCATGGTGGAAATACATATACTGTTGATATGCAATGTAAACAAACAACAGGTGTTGATGGAAGCAGTGTGTCAGTTGATGTAACTTTCACTAATGAAGTTGAATGTGAGTACTCTCCGAAATTAATTATGTGTAGAATGCTTAATTTGAAATGAATGTAATTTGGCAGCACTGTTGGTGACTGAATCAATGTTGGTTTAAATAAATTTCCTAGTGTGCACGATGTCCTGGTCAGGCGGACCATTTTCTGTGGCAGAGAATACAGCTACTAGAACTGAGATAATCGCAGCATCATCACTGACATCAACCTTCCCTGAAACAGCTGATACTACAGCATTCAGTATTACTTCAGTTAGTCCAGGTGCAACCACGCTGTTTGACATTGATCCAAGCACAGGGGCGGTATGTATGACATGAAAGTGGAATTTTAACAGACGAGCTATGGTCAATATGTCAATATTTTGTTAACAAGCACTTTCATGTGACGGATTTCCAATGAATATGAGAATATATACATTACTATAAATATTGTTAATGGAAGAAGGGAGAAATATTTAAACGAGCCTTTTTTGTAAAGTTGAAATACATTATGATTTCAAGTGAATATGCTTACTAATTTACACAAGAGAAACAACAATATACACTATACGTTTGCTACTTGGCTTTCTATGTATTATAGGCTTCATTTATTTATATGGAATAGTTTGATTGTGATTGTAAAACCAAACTACACTACACTACACTACACTACACTACACTACACTACACTACACTACACTATACTACACTACACTACACTGTACTACACTGCACCACATCACACCACAATACAATACAACGCAATACAAAACAATACAGTTATTTGTATGCCTTTCCACTATTCAAAAAGCTGAGTGTTGGATCAACGCCGCCAGACTATGAAAATGATGCATCAACTCAAACAATAACTGTAACTTGCCATCAGTCGTCGACTACTAGTGCTGCTGAAACAGTTGTTGTTACCATTACAAATGTTGATGAAGGTACGACATCATTTACTTTATTTGCTTAAAATAGTGAACCATCCCAAATGCTACCCTTGTGCCTATATGTGTTTGCATTTAATCTAATAGGCAATTGTTACAATAAACACCATTTTTATAAATATTTGTTGTGTATCATTTTTTCTCTCTTTGCTAGAACTCGATACCACGGTATATTTTTTATTCGAGTCACGATGATAGAATCTTGCATTACAACTTGATTTTAATTAATATTTTATAGATTGTACGATAAACTGGCCGTCAGCTCCATTTGTCGTAGCAGAAAATTCTGTCACAACTACAGTTGTAATTGCTTCATCGGCTATTACGGGAGTCTTTCCTGAAAATGCTGCAGCAAATCCATATGACATCACTAGCGTTAGTCCAGGACCTGCAGGCTTGTTCGCTATTAATCAGGCAACGGGTGCTGTAAGTATTTAAAATGAAATGCATCATTGAATTTATAGTCTACTACCAACGTTTAGCTATATACTGTAACACTTTATTTTTTACAATATGGTGGTGAAATCAAAACTCGCGAATTTCAACTAATATTATATGTATTGAATATTGTTTATTTTTCACAAGATATCAGTTGACAGTGTTGTACCAGATTATGAAACGCATACTACTTCCCAAACAATAACTGTGACATGTTACCAGGCATCTGGGCATAACGTTGCATATACAGTTGATGTGAATATCGAAAATGTAGATGAAGGTAAGTAATTCAAATATAAGTCAATTACAATGTAAACGCTTTATCTCCAAAAATACCGAAACTTTTACTACAATCTCTATTGTTGTACATTTCACAGCGTGTACACTCTTGTTTACAAGTGTTACATACTCCATACAAGAAAACTCAGCAACGGCCACAGCCATCATACCATTTGGTGACATCACATCAGATTTTCCAGAAGGAGCGGCTGGTACAGGGTTTATTATAGCCAGTGTATCCGCACCAGGTCCTGCAACTTTATTTGACATTGATGGAAGTACTAGCGTGGTAAGAAATCAATAAAAAATGCTTATGCTTAGTTCACACCAACGGCGCTTTGATGGCGCTTTGACGGCGCTTTAAAGCGGCGTGCAAAGCGGCACCAAAGCGTAACAAA